CTGCTCTTAGAGTAGAACTAGAGCAGCTGAATGCTCCTGCCCCCGAGGCTGCTCACCATGACCTCGACTCTGCCCTCTTTTGTCCTTGGCACCTCGTTCCCAGCCCTATGGGAGCCCGGTGTGCTCCTCAGAATCCATGAATTCCCTGCAGACTCTGGCTGCCTTCATCTAGTTCCACTACGGTCTTCCTCCTTCCATCCTAACAGCAGTGCAAGCCTGCCAGAGGGTGGGATTCATGTCTTTGTTAGAATTTTCTTGATCCCTCTCCCACCTTCCATGACTGACGGCCTGCAAGTGCCAGGCTCTGCTGAGGGGCCTGTGAAACTAGCTTTGCCCACCGAGACTCTTAAGACATGTTTTTACAGTTGCCCTAAAGCGCACCAGTCCATGTTCTTAAAGACAAATGAACTAGGAGAATTGCACATGGTCTCGCTTAGAGGAGTTTCAACCAGAGATGAAATTTTGTGGTTCATAACCATACTGGCAAAGTAGCAGACTCGTTCCAGTGCATCTGAAAGAAATGAGCTAATAACAAGTAGTGGTTCTCCAGAGACTTCACCCTGGTTCCGGGAAGTAAATATTTTGAAATTGAATTTGTAACAATAGTTTCCATTTTCAAATATAGCATCATAACTCCTTTGGGTTTCTATATATATATATATATATTTTTTTTTTTTTTTTGCAAACATTCAAATTACCTCTGGGAGCTAAATTGTGTAGGGGTTTTCGACCCCCAAATTACACAAAGTGACACTTCTACTAGTCTGAGATACTCTTTAAGATCAAGGAGTGAGTTTATGTGGAAAGCGAATCGATGTTTTCCATTTGTGCTGAGGTTGGGATAAGAGAAGAATGTCATATGAGAACATGGAACTCATTACCAGCATAGATACTCCACCTCTGACTTTATTTAAAGAAATGGATAGAGCACTGTCCTCCTGGGGTTGCACGGGGTAGGGCAGTGCTTGCCAGATTTCTGGTGCTCCAGCAGCCCAGCCTGGCCTTGCCTGATCTCCCGCCGCTAGCCCCACCCTCCTAAATTAATAGATCATGTTTTTACTATGTGTTTCTCATTCATCATCTCACTTTGGCCTCATAAAAATCTTCCTTCTACTGTTGAGGAAACTGGCTGCCAGTGAGGTCAGTGGATACTTTTTATTCAGTTTACTGGTGTCAGAGAAGGTGCTAAAACCCAGGTGTCCCAATCTCATACTTGGTGGCATATAAATATACAAAATGCCACAGGTATAGAAAATACATTTGCTGAAAGAAGGGAAGGCTATTTTGAGAATTTAAGAAGAGCACTTTTGGAATTTGAAGTTTTCTTAGGATGTACAAGTGTATTATTCTGATTATTATCCTTTCAACCTCATTCAATTGAGTATTTATCTACTGTTTACCATATTACACTGTGGAATGCAATGGAAAGCGAGTCCCTCGCAGTGCTCACTATCCTTTTTTTTTTTTTAGATTTATTTATTTATTCATGAGAGAGAGAGAGAGAGAGAAAGAGAGAGAGAGGCAGAAACACAGGCAGAGGGAGAAGCAGGCTCCCCACCGGGAGCCTGATGCAGACTCGATCCCAGGACCCTGGGATCACGACCTGAGCACTCAACCACTGAGCCACCCAGGCGCCTTTTATTTCTTAACATCCTTTTCTCTTGCTGTATTATCCACCCCCCCGCCCCCCCCACACACACGGCCCACCCCTAACCTCTGGTCTCAGCCCCCACCAGCTATAGATTCTAGATAGATCCTTGGTAAGTATTGTAAATGTTGACACAATTTAGAAAAAGAGAAGAGCATTTCCTGCAGGGGGCTTCACATCCTCTGGGCCTATGGAAATTTATCTTAAAATGGTACTTAATATACAGAAGAATATGATATCTGGTGTCACTGAGCTGCTAGATTCAAATCCTGACCTTGTTATTTCCTACCGAGATACTAGACATATTACTTTTTAATTTCCACATTTGTAAAATAAAGCTGATAACAGGACCTGTTTTGTGAGGTGGCTATGACTATTTAACAAAATACATCTAAGGCACTTAGGGCATACTAAGAAGTGCTCGTGATGTTAGATTATGTTCATTTTAATGAACAATTAGGAACAATCCACACATCTAATAAACTGTTTTATCCTAGCAATGTAGTGCTTTATATCAAGTAAAATGATGCTGTAGGTAAATATTTGGCTTAGAAAGATAATTATTATATTAAAAGGAAGAAGGCTATAAAATACTATTTACTATGTGATTGAATCCAAGTAGAGATTTATTACACATTATCTAATGTACTCAAACCTGTTTTGAATTCAAGTGCATTTGTGTCTCTAATAATTTAGTTGTATTTCACAAGGGCAAAAATCAAACCGTGCTAATTTCAGTTCCTTTACCTTGTGAGGTGAGGGTCAATAAGAATTTTTCCTGGGCTAACGTACTTTTGGTAGTGTTTTGCGATCCAAATGACTTCTAATAATAAAATAGAAGGATTTCTTTTACTAACAGGTAAAGTTCTCCACGCCATAACAAAGTCCCAAGATACTATCTAGTGTCATAATGCTACTAGAGTAATTAATTATATACATAATTTACCAGGTCAAGAAATACTACAGCTATCAATGTTTAAGTTCCCGTAACAATTTTTAAGGGCATGAACTATGGCTCTAATAAGGTTTATTATGGGATACTCATAACAGATATAATTTATCATGATGTGGGATTTTTAAGAATGACATTTGCATTATATAAAAAGTAAATTGCTAAATATTAATGCTACCACCTTGTCCAACTAACAAGAATCACTTAGGGATACTGCTTTCGTGCAACTTCAGTTTCAGTGTTTGAATTGGTGATTCAGTTGATTTACAAAGCAAAAAATTATCCTTACTCTCTCACAGATGATGACTCTCTGAATTCCTGAGAGATAACCACTTGTTGTTACCCAGGTCTTTGCTGATCCAATGATGAAAAAAATATCTTCCTCCAGTCCTCACAAAAGCTGTTTGATCACCCCCAATTTCAAGCAAATAAATACCATGCCGACACGCATACTCTATTACTAATATGGAAATACTTCAATTCTTTGCTAATGTTATAAAATTAGGACCTCTGACTTCCACCCACAGAAATGAAAACATGGGCATATGGTTGTATCAGAAGGAATTTTTTTAGTACTTTCCTATCTATCTCATTTCATTACTAATATTAACGACTTTATATGCAGGATGTATAAATCTCATTCATTTTATCAGCTTTGAAACTCTCCATTGGGGAAGTTTTACTTCAACTTTGGGCATTTCCTGAACTAAAAAGCATAGTGATGTGGTTTGTAAAATCTCTGAACAGTTAGAGGGTGGTGAGCACAGGAAAATGACAAGAGCGAGGAGAAATAACACTCACAATCAAGCACCTCCCAAGCTAAATGATGCCAATTATATCCAGCTGGGGACCGCTATAAGCTGCTAAGAGCACAGAGCTTGGCTACACTACAAGCGCTTTCCTGACATCTGGTAGAGGTAAAGCTGACCTCACCACTTCGTGCCTGGGACAGGTAGACAAAAACCCAAGGAGATTAGCATCAATCTCACAAGATCAGATAGACTGACTATTGGCTATGTCCTTTGTTTCTGCACCCCCCCCCAAAAAAAAAAAACTAACCAGAGTAGCAGGTTTAAAAAAAAAAACAAAAGCTTTTTCCCCTTTTTTCTCCCATAGTAAAACTTAGGGTTATTGCCTCTGGTTTGAGGCAGATAGTGAGTTGCTTACACCCACGTGATTGCTTTCTGGTTGCATTTATGATTACTAGAATAGAATTACAAATACTCCACTATTACTTCCAGTCCTCAGCCAGATGTGAATCTGCTAAGTTAAACAAAGACTTAAGATTCTTAAGACTGTTTTTCCGCATTACCTTTCTCCCCCCCTTTACTGGTATATTAAAAACAAAGAGTGAGTACTGATTAAGTTCTTTAAATCCAAAAATTAGTGAGGGTGGCACCACTTACTTTTGTAATTCCAAGACAAGCGTCCACTGCTACATAGGATAAAGTCCTGGGGTTTAGATTTCAGCTCTCAGAATCACAATCCCTAAAGAGTGTTCACTAGGAAGAAAAAGTAAAAAGTCTGCTCTAGAAACATTGCTCATAAACTCCAAATACTTTTAGTTCTCCTTTTTCACCCCGGAAGAATTATATTCTCATGGCCCATATCTTATTCCTGACTTGGGATACCCAAAAAGGTCGTTTTGAAAAGCACTCTGCCTTTTCTTTCACATTAATTTTGTTAGCTAGTTTAAAAGGGATAATTTACCAAATTAGATGTTTTCACGTGTTCTTTTGAGGAAGTGTAATCATCTACAAATAAGTTTCCTATTAAAATGTACTCAAACACAGCTCAAAATGACTTTCTAAAATTAAGAGTTGTTATATTTGAGACTAACATCGACTTAATACTGAAAACACACACACAAAAAGGACAAAATGGTTGAAACTTTCACAAGAATGGAAAATGTTTAATAAACTTAGAGTGGGGCTTATTAAACTATAGTGTTATTTACAGCCATAATTCATCAACCACAAACACAATAATGTGTTTGCATGGCATGCTACAACAGAAGCTTTATTCAATTCATTCAGAAAACATTGGCAAAATAAATTTCAGTTGCAAATTCACAGATACAGGCTTCAAAGTATAAAGTTGTATATAACAAAAAATACAGGTAATATTTAGAACAATAACTTACAGATACAAACTAATGATAAACTACAATTTCACAAAGGATTGTAAACATTTTGCACACTTGTCAGTCCTTTCTTTTAGGCAAAGTGCTCTTTTGATGACAAATAAATTAACAGATACACACTAGAGTGAACTATTTCCAGACAATACAAAAAAAAAGTTTTGATTTGTTTTCTTCTTGTAAACATAAATTTTACAAAAAAATGAATAATCAATAAAAGTGTCTTGCAGGCCAACTATAGATACATACCTGGGCAGCAAAGTGATGTTGAAAATGCTTTGAGTGTTAAATAAAAAATTAACATTAATATCTTTTCAATGGTATTTTATACATAAGTGACAAGATTATATCCTTAATCATTTCTATCCCTGAAAAAAGGAATTAGGTATGACTTATTGGCAGTTGTGTCATTGAATGGGGTAACAAGGGCTGGAGTCCAAGAGTTGTTGGTGAATGAGCTATAAAATAGAAAGAAATTTGTGGATCAGTTTTGTAGCGAGGAATAAAACTGATTTAAAAACAAACAAAAACAATCCAAGACAATGCATTTTCAATACTCATTATAGCTGAGGGCACCAAGCTATACTCATTCCACTAACCTCAGCAGAAGCATTAACTTATTCAGCATAGTGAGTACAGTACTAAATGAGAATCCAGCAATATTTTACCCCCAAAACCTTTTTTGGGGGCCACAAGCTTTTGACACTGTAATGTCCTCCATCCATACCCCATTCACTGCACTCTACCCTGCAGCTAGAAAACACAAAAGCTTTGTCTCCAGAAATGCTGCTAGTTTCCACATAAAGGTGTCTATAGGATGACCCCACCACCAAATTCTCATTTATGAATGCTTAACTGCCTCTTTCCTAAACATACATCAAAGCACACTTGACCTAGGCAACACTATAGTCATTCATGTGAACACACACAAATCTAATGCTAATAAAATAGCAACAATGGTACAGGCTCTGATTTTTTATTTAACCAAAACTTAAAAACGAAGTTTCCACTCTCAGCAAGGTCTATGATGCTTCAAATCAAACCTCTCACTGACAGCAACTAGGAAAGCTGGCCAAAATTTTTTAAAAAATCTGTTGGAAGGCATCTAAAAATACCAAGATAATGAGAACTTGCAAAGCAAGTCCCAGAAGAGAAGGAAAATAAAATGAGGCTACTTCCCACCCCCTACTCCCCAAATTTAGTGACAATTTTCAAAGAAAAGGAATGTCTGAGAGGTTGAGAATAGTGGACTTTCAGGAGTTAGAATCTGGCTGAGAGATGCGGAACAAACATGAAAGATCAGGGACCACTGAAGAGAAGCTCTGGTTTAAAACAACAGAAACAAAACACAACAAAATGCAGGCCCTGTCTGGGATCCCACAAGGCTAAATCCACGTAGTGACCCAGAAATGTATCAGGCTTCATGAGGACTGATCCTGATTGGATTAAGTTGATCTTACCCTATTCTAACATCCTGCCAGAGACAAAACCAAATCCTCTCTGGTAGAGACCATCCAGAGCCTCAAATTATTTCTAGTTTTTCATACCCAACATCTGAAGTGCAATAAAAAAAATAAAAAGACAAATAAGAAGAGACGATTTGACTAAAAACAAAGAGATCCAGATGCTGTAGTTATTAGACATAAACTTTAGTATAACTACTATAATAATTTTATTGAGGAATAAAGTGGTAGAAATAGAAGATTTAGCATAGAAATGGAAACTATATTAAAGAATGAAATGGAATTCTAAAACTGAAGATACAACAACTAAATTAACAACTCAGTGGGTAAGTTTTATGCCATATTAGATAAGGACTTAGTGACCTGGAGATAGGTCCGAAGAAAATACCTAGACTAAAAGCATGGAAGGTCAAACCTGGAAAATATGGATTTTTTTCATAAGGGGCAGAAACAACATTTGAAGAGACAAAAACTGAGACTTTTCCATAATTAAATACATCAAACTACATACTCAAGAAGCATATCATTAAAATAAAATTGAAAAACAAACACAGATAAAAGCTGGGATAAAATGACTAAAATGACATTTACTTTCAAAAGAGCAAGAATAAGACCAAAAGCTGATTTCAACAATAGGTAGCATCAGATTAACTATCCATATTCTAAACAATGGAAATAATGGAAGCCAGAAGCCAATGTTATCTTACCTTCAAAGTCCTGGGGGGTTGGGGGGAAGCTCCCAACCTAAATTTCCACATACACAGGAAATACCACTAACAAATGCATCAAAACAAATACTTATGAATGAACATTAGATGTGCAAGATTACTGAACCAAAAACTCTAGAATATAAAAAAGTACTTAAAGATGGTCTGAATAAATAAAGTTCATAGGATGGAAGGTGATACTAAGATGGCAATTTCTTACAAAGTGATCTAATAGACTGTATCAATTTCTATTTTTTTGGTAGAAATTGACAAGCTGGTAAAATTTATGGAAATGCAAGGGTCAAGAACAGGCAATGCAAACAACACAAAGTAAGAAGACTTTTTTCTACTGGATATCAAGAATTGTAGGACTTGCATAATTAAAACAATTAGCAAGATGAAAAGAAATAGTCTAATAGAATACACAGAAATTGACACCTACATTATATGAACGAACAGTTGATTTATGAGAAATGTGGCAGCCGGGAAATTGGTATTTTTATCAATATAACAATAGAACTTTGCTTCCTATCTCATAGCGCATACAAAATTCAATTCCAGACAGACTATAAATCTTAATGTCAAAGGTAAGATAAGTTTCTAGAAGGTAGCCTAAGAGGAATATGTTCACTATGTGAAGAGAAACAAATTCTTGAATAGGTCACAAAGAAAGCACTGCCCATGAAGGAAAAAAAAAAAAAACCTGATGAAATGAACTATATTAAGATAAGGAACTTGTATTCAACAAAACATACCCTTAAGAGAGTAGAAGGCGGCAAGTCACTGAATAGGAGGAGATATTCACCAAAAAAAAAAAAAAAAAAAGAAAGAAAGAAAGAAAGAAAGAAAGAAAGAAAGAAAGAAAGAAAGAAAAGAAAAAGGAAAAAAAAAAGATATATAAATGCCTGGTGAAAACATGCTCAATCTCTTCAGTCATGAGAGAAAAGCAAATTAAAATAATGAGCACTATCCAGCCATCAAATTAGTTAAAATTAAGAAGTCACACCATACCAAGTGTTGGCAAGAGTGTGGAGCACCTTGAACTCTCACATAATGCTGGTCCAAGTGTAAACTGGTTCAACCACTAGGAGAAACTGGGAGAATCAGCTGAAGTTGGGTGTATGTGTAGCCCATGACCCTACGTTCCACTCCCAGGTACATACCAAACAGAGGTGTGAATTAATGTACACCAAAAAGTATGTACAATCAAGTCCATAGCAGCATATTCATAGAAGTCTAAACATGCTCAAACACAAATGTTTATCAACCATAAAATGGTTAAATTGTGGTATATTCCCACAGTGGAATTCTATATAACAATAAAGCAAATCACTGATTGTTGCAACAATACAAGTGAATCTCACAAACAATGTAGTTGAAAGAAGTGAGATACACAATACATTCCATATGGTTCAGTTTATGTAAAGCTCAAAAATGGGCAAAACTACAACAGGATTTTAGAAATCAAGGCAATGTTACTCTGGAGGAAGAGGATACTGATTGGAAGGGGACATAAGAGAGGTTTCTGGGGTGTTAATTATTATGTTCTACTATTTCCTCTGGTCAGTATTTACATGCATAGGCTCACTTTAGTAATTCATCAAGCTGGATACTTGTTATGTGTGCACTTTCCCATATGTACGTTTTGCTTTAACAAAACAATGTCTTCACTAACTCCCACCTAAACTCTTGAGTGTGCCATTTGCAACGACGTGGATGGAACTAGAGGATGTTATGCTGAGAGAAGTCAATCAGAGAAAGACAATTATATGATTTCACTCATGTGGAATTTAAGAAACAAAACAGAGGATCATAGGGAAAGGGAGGGAAAAATAAAATAAGGTGCAACAAGAGAGAGAGAGACAAACTGTAAGAGACTCCTAAGTATAGGAAACCAACTGAGGGTTGCTGGAGGGGTGGTGGGCAGGGGGGAAAGGCTAATGGGTGACGGGCATTAAGGAGGGCACATGATGTGATGAGCACCAGGTGTTATATGCAACTGATGAATCACTGACCTCTACCTTTGAAACTAATAATATACTGTACTCTAATTGATTTAAATTAAAAAATAAATAAAACTCGGAGTGTAAATACTTTGATCATAGGAAAATAAATTACTTAAATATCAAACAAACAAAAAGGTCCCCCCCCCCAGGTAAAAAAAATCAAGTGCTAAAAGTCATCAATATTTGTATTTTAGCTGTGAAGTGTTAAACGTGTCCCTTAAGATGTAGCCACAGAAATAAGGACATTTGCACATTTCTGCTCCCTATTGCACACCCCCCACCCTAATATTTTTCAGCTATGACTGAGGTAATAATTTCAAAATATGAATCCTACCAGTCAGCTAGCATTAGCAGTTATCAGTTATTGTACTTGGAAAACAGCTGCTAAAGGTCGGGATACCTACCATCCATGTAACTATGCAGCGCAGTTAGCATCGTCCCGTCTTGGGGCACGTAGGCAGAATAAGCCATTTCTTCTAGCATGGGTGGAGACAGCCTGGAGGGTGGGACTGCTGTGACTGGGGCAGAAGAGGAGTGATTAGGACTGACGTGCTTCTTATGGCGTGCTCTACAATTCTGAAACCACACCTGAGGAAGGAGAGAAGCAATGTAGTCAGTCACATGTCAGCTTCTGCATACATGATCTCCTCGGTCTAAAAAGAAAGGAGTCCTCAATTTCTCTACTGTGTAAGCACAGGATAAATCTAAGTAAGCTTTTTAAGCAGCTCTGTAGACAGAAGAGAAACATTTGCACAAATATCAATGCTCATTTTCTTTGCTCAAATAGTAGCTATCACGTGGTTTACTTAAAAGCCAATTCCATTCTACATCAGCATCCTCCAAAACAAAAAGGGAGGGAAGCAGCTCAAGAATTCCAGAAAAGTTTCTTTGGCTTTAACTACTGGCATTTGGGACAAAAAGAAATCTAGAAATAAAGCCCTTTAAATCAGAACTTAACAACAACAACAACCACAAAAAACCCAACTAAATGTATTCTTAGACACCTGCTGGACTGATTTCAAATCCTTTTCCAAATGACTAAAATCCCTACTGAGAACTTAAAGCTTTCTACAAACCTCTTGATCCAGTTATTCCAATCACATCTTAACCCGCTGAGTTCAATTTCTCTTAGTGAATACATAGACTAGGTTCCCTAAGAAGTATGTTAAGGTCAGGCTTATAATAAGAAAAAATGAGTAATGCTTAAGCAGAATAAAATACAAACAAATCCACCGGTGAAACAGTTCACAAAATGTAAAGAGCTAATCATCCTCTTGTCTACTCTATCACAGAAATAAAGGAAGCAAACTCAAGGCAAACAGAGTTTTGAGCCAGGTCAGGGTGAGTGAAGCTAGGTGGCCCAGAATGCTCCCAGTAATGAATCTGCCTGTGTTTTAACTCCCTGTCATTAGATAAAAGTTGACTACAGAGTATTACTCTTGTTAAAATATTAAAATAACACAGCACGGGGATCCTGGGTGGCTCAGCGGTTTAGCCCCTGCCTTTGGCCCAGGGTGAGATCCTGGAGACCCGGGATCGAGTCCCACGTTGGGCTCCTGGCATGGAGCCTGCTTCTCCCTCTGCCTGTGTCTCTGCCTATCATAAATAAATAAATAAATCTAAAAATAAATAAATAAATAACATAGCACCTATTCGTTATCACTCCATGCAAGTCTGTCATGAAGAGAAAGAGAGTGGAGGAATAAAAAGCTTTAAGGAAATTATAATAGAGCATTTCAGTGTCAGGGAAGAAGGCCGGGGAGAGATCAGGGGCATAAGTCTCTGTCCAGGGCCGGCAGGTAGTTATTTGATGGCACAAGGGAATCAGGGCTGAATAATATAGAAGAGAAGGAATCTGCAAAAAGTTTTACACGGGAAACCTGACCTGATTTCAAAGCTACATCCTGCTCTTTGGGACTCAAAAATAGAGAGCTGGCAATGTATAAGCTCTAGGAGTTAAAACTAAAGTAAGAAAAATGGATTATGTAATGGAGTATGCAGCCCCGAACAGGTGGCTGAAAGGTAGCACCCAAGGGATGTTTCGGAAACAAGACGAAGGCATATATTAAGGAAAAAGAGTGGGGAGTCTTCTCCCCCATTTCTGGAGTATTTGACTCTCAGGTACTTACACAGGGACCAAACCCAAAGTCTCCAGTCATAGTTCTCTTCGAGGCTCCTTCATAGGTGTCACTACTGTCCCCCACCCAGGCAAGAAGATGGGACTCCTATGTTCTCCAACTTGGAAAAGAGAACTACTGCCACCAGCCTTTTCCCCAACAGTCCCCAGAAGACCTGCACCCTGGCGGGCTACCTAAACCTGATGGACATATGGCACTATGGTTCCCAGAGTTTCTTTGGATGGAATCTATTCAGTTGTTTAAAAAGAAGTCCAGACTTTCCAGCAGAAACACTACCTTAATGCTGACTCAAATAGCTCCTTGGAAAGATCATCAACGGGTAATCAGGCAGAGAGGTTTGTAAACACAAAATGTCATGTAACTTGCACAGAAAAAAATAGAGTTGACAATTCCAGACATCAGAGAATAACTTCTTGCAGGAGGGCTACCCAGCTCTAGAATTTAAACACAAATCCTTTTGATGCTACTCACTGACTTAAAATTCTTTCTCTTTTGCAAATCTCCAAGAAGAGTTAAAACTTCCTTTGAACAACATACTTTATAATTTTTTGAGTTCTAAATTGTAAACTGTATAAAAAGAGCAGGCTAGGTAGACATTCTGCAAAAGAGAAGACTAATCCATAATCCATAAGATACATTCTTGAGAAAGCCCGAAGAGTCAAATGTCAGAATTTTTTGTATGAAAAAGATGGAATTGGGCAGCCCTGGTGGCTCAGTGGTTTAGCGCCACCTTTAGCCCAGGGCATGATCCTGGAGACCCGGGATCCAGTCCCATATCGGGCTCCCTGCGTGGAGCCTGCTTCTCCCTCTGCCTGTGTCTCTGTCTCTCTCTCTCTCTGGGTCTCTCATGAATAAACAAATAAAATCTTTAAAATATATAAATAAATAAGTATATAAAAAAAGAAAAAGACGGAATTTTAAATTATCGGGAAAGCATGGCATAATACTGATTTAGAGAAACCTGGCTAATCATTTGCAAGGAAAAGAAATGGTAAGATCCCTACACCTCATTAGTAATCAAACTTCAATTCCAGACAAATTAAAGATTAGGTGTAAATAACTGGAACCAAAAACATTTAAGGAAGACAACAGTCAATATTGATAAACTCTCTAAGTGGAGAAGCATAGAAAGGCCCAATGTTATAAGAAAAAAAAATATTGAGAGATTTGAACACATAAAAATGTAAAAGTTTTGGGATGCCTGGGTGGATCAGTTGGTTAAGTGTCTGACTCTTGGTTTTGGCTCAGGTCATGATCTCGAGGTCCTGAGACTGACCCCCAGGTGGAGTCCTGTGCTTGGGGAGAAGTCTGCTTGAGACCCTTTCCCCTCGCCCTCTCCTCTGCTCCTCCTCCCATTCGTGCTCACCCTCTTTCTAAAATAAAGTCAGGCATCTCAGGTGGCTCAGTGGTTTAGCGCTGCCTTCAGACCAGGGCGTGATCCTGGAGTCCTGGGATCAAGTCCCACGTCAGGGTCCCTACATGGAGCCTGCTTCTCCCTCTGCCTGTGTCTGCCCCCACCCCACCCCCGTCTCTCATCAATAAATAAATAAAATTTAAAAAAATTAAAAATAAATAATAAAATCTTAGAAAAATAAAATTAAATACAGTCTTTAAAAAGATATATGTACTTCATATATATGTATAAAAGTTCTATGTGAAGAAAATAAATAAACTGATGAACTATGGAAGTTTGACATGATAAATAGAATAAAAGTCAGTAAGATGGAAAGAAAAGGGATCATCATCCGATAGGAAAGTGGACTAAAAACATATTTCTAAAATTACAAAATAAGCAAACATGTTAAAGTTCATTGATAAGGAAAGAAATATGAAATAAAAACAATGTGATTTTTCTACCAAAATTGGAAAGAATGTAAAAGAATAACTGCATTCAGGATTTGCATGGTTGGTGAAAGGAAACTTTCATCTATAGCTCCTGGCAGAATAAACTGGTATGAACTTTCTGGAAGGTGACTTTTGTACTATCAGTTAATCAGTCATGAAAGGCCCTAAACATGTTTTTTCTTTCGACTCAACATCGATTCTAGAAATTTCTCCTTGGAAACTAAGGAAAAAATGAGCAAGGTGTATATATATATTTATTTATACATTTATTTATTACAGCACTTTTATGATAATGAAAAGACGGAAATAAAGTAAATAAATTGTGCCATGCTTAAGATGTACAGCAATAAAAATGACATAAATCTTAATATGGACACATACTCCTAGGACACTGACTGGAAGAAGTAGCAATGTTTTATTCTGTTTCTGTAAAATACACAACTCATAATTCACCTATTAGAAAGGGCATGTGAATGGTGATTGTATCTGGATGCAGCGTTAAAAGTAAAATCATCCACCTTTTTTTGTGATTTCCATACTATGATGATCTGGTCTGTTACTAATTTCTCACTAAGCTGACTTTAGCTAGTAAAGGTGAGAGTGTCTGTGTGTCAGACCATTATTTCTACCTAATCTTTGGGTAACAGAGTTTGCACATCAGAATCAAGGCCTAGTAATTAAAACGTTTTCATTTTTCTAAGTGTGCTTAATGCTAGGAAGTGACTGGACAAAGAGGTTATGATTTTACTGAGATCACAGAAATCGATTCTTCAAAAATACCATAAAGGAGTTATATGCATATATACAAATAGTATGTATATTTACATTCTGGTACCCCTTCCTTTGCTACTTTATCAAAAATATTTAAATTCAATTCTCACATATTAAAAACCACCATCCAACAATATATTCTCCAAGGTCTAGTACTTGGAATCAAGATAATACTGGTGACCTAAACACTTGGAGATTTCATGACATTGTTGGGGGTTCTTACTTCTTCAAATAGTAAGAAGAGCTTTCAGAAAACACTTCAGTTCCCCTTGCTTCCAACTTCAAAATAATCTAAGACATAATAGTCATGAATTGGCTTAGTTAGAGTAGTCCTAGTCATTGAACAGACAGGCTCCTAAGATGGAACCCTCAGCCCATGGAGTCTGTTACTACCTCGACAAAGGAAGCTCCATTTCCAGGTACAGGAAATTCACTACCTCCAATGGCAGCCCTTATCATCTTTAAAGACTTTCATGCTAAGAAAGTTCTTCATCATGAGTGAAATCTGCCTCTTCTTTCATTCCTTTGTGAAGACCTGATCCTGCTATCTGCAAGACAGCCTTCCACCTATATTTAAAGATACTTACACTGTTTATACCATCCCTTCCCTTACTATCTCATCTCCAGACAAATATTCCTATTGCCATTAATATTAGCACATAATTTATCTAATAACTAATTTCTACTTCTTTCATGACCTTATTAGCCTGTCTCTAAGGGAAACAGTCTGTTCAGATTGGTTTCTTGCTAAGACTCCTTTTTAAAATTTGGCACACAGAGGGATCCCTGGGTGGCTCAGTGGTTTAGCGCCTGCCTTCAGACCATGGCGTGATCCTGGAGTCCTGGGATCGAGTCCCACATCGAGCTCCCTGCATGGAGCCTGCCTCTCCCTCCGCCTGTGTCTCTGCCTCTCTCTCTCTCTCTCTCTCTCTCATGAATAAATAAATAAAATTTTTTAAAAAAATTTGGCACGTGGAAATAAACATAATACCCTGGACATTTGAAAAGCACTGAGGTCATATGATGCACCTCCTTCAGAGAGCCTCATTATACTTACAGTCAGCCAAGTCTACTGGGAATGTAAGTGTTTAAAGAAGCTGCAATAGCATCAGGTCTTTCCCAACAGCTTCTCTGCATAGATGACTTGTTAACTATGAGATCCCTCAGGCTTAATAAGAATAAATTGAACAATGAGCACCTATTTATCAGCCACCCAATTTTTAGGAAATAAAACATATGTACTACATTGGATTTTCTCTCTCCCCTCCCCAAACTAAATTTCATCTTGCTGGTTATGGTTACTGACATGAATTCCTTAAATTTTTTCGAACCTTGACTGTTATTTAAAATTATTTTCCACTTCCCTGATTTCTCTGTAAGATCTTGACACAGTCACTCACCTCCACCTTGAACACATTAGTTTGGTTTCCATGATGCTTTTCTATCAAACTCATTCCTTCATCCTGGCTGTTACTATATCCCATTCTAATAGCACCTCTTGCTCTCCTCTCTCCCTAAAGTCTATTCCTTTTTTACTTCTATGATCTCATTCTAAAGGATCTTATCCAATTTCATAGCATTGGATATGTTTGAGTCTTGTTCATCTTTTAAAGATACCTGTTTATATAACCAACTGCCACCATCACTGCATGACTGGCAGAGCTAAAAGGAAATTCATTTCCTTCCCAGTTACCAAATCATCTTTCTTTTGACTCTCATATTCCTGTCACTAGCACTATTCCCATGGATACTCTGACTTCAAATTTAAGAATCATCCTTCACTTGTCTCTTTCCCCATTACAGTGTCCAGGTCCCTTTCGTGTCTCTTGCCACCAGCATGCAAGCAATAAAACGTTTCTCAATGAATTCTAGGTTACTATCTCACTTAAGTCTCTTTTCAAAAAAAAAAAAAAAAAAAAACCACTACTTTGCTGGGCATCTCAACTAATATGTGTATCTCTAATCTAGACTTTCTAATCCTAATTCTTCCCATGTACTGCCACCAGCTACTATGGCTGTCTCCTGCTCAGGACAGAACTCTACCAAGTTTAGCTCTAAAAATTTTATCTCTCACAATTTTCAAATACAAAACTAAAATTTCAATGAATTTGCTCTAATTTATCCTTCCCTAGCTTTGTTCACACCACTTCCTCTACTTGGAACTTTAACAAAGGCCATCTGCTCCCACACACACACACTTCTCACTCGCATATACAATCACAGAAAAGTGGGAAAAAATTACTAGCTTCAGTATCAGCTCTAGCTTGGAACCACAGTTGTCTTTTTTAGCTTGAGGGTCTTAGGGTTGCTGTGAGCACCAAATGAAGTAACTTGTAAACAACGTCATTTAACAATTGGTAGCCCAGCCCAAGCAGACTAATTATCAGATAAAAAAAAAAAAAAAAGTTGATGTAGAGTATGAAGAGACCTAAAATGGAAAGCTAATGATTTGACATTTCTTCTCACACACAGACACACACAACACACATTCATAAAGACCTGGAACAGAACCTCTGGGATCTCTTGATTAACCTTTAAAATAATCACCTGTATCACACGTCTGCTCAAGCCTGTCCTTTCTGCCAGTTTCTGGAGGGTCTGTGCATCTGGGTTGTTGTCCTGAGCAAACTGTGCTTGCATAACCTGTTTAAAAAGAAATAATGATAGTAAACAGCTAGATTTAAGAAGCTCAATCTTTTGCATTTTGATGACTAGAGCGAGAAGGCATGCACAAGAAAATAAGACGTTTGTATTTTACTACTTGAAAATCAATATGGGGGAATAGATATAAATGACAAGAAAGCATATGTTAGAAATTTACATATTGATACATTAAGATCTTTTAAAAAATAATCCATTTCAACATAAAACTTGGTTTTTCTCAGCTATGCTGTTAAAAATGAGCTCACCTTTGCTCTTCCATTCTTCTACACACAAATGAAATGAATAAATGGTAGAAGTCTATTGGCTATTCTTTTCATTTTGCTAAAAATTTCTTACATTATATAACTTTTAAAAATACAAAAATCCTATCAAACATATCTTCAGCCTCTCCTGAGCTCAATGGGCCCATACTACAATTTTCACCAATCAGCAAATAGTATATACTGCAAAAGTTGGATTCCATTTAATTCTAATAACTCCAATATTAATTGTTTTGAGCACTTGATCTATGCAAAACAGTATCAGGGATCTTAAAAAAAAAAAAGATCATTTCACCGAGTAAGAATTTTCTGGGATTTAAATATCTGCATATTGAAAAAGCTCCCAGGTGTTTGATATGAACCTTTGGGTTAGAAAATGTGCTAAGTGCCATGAGACAGTGATTTGTGAAAAAACTGTCCTTGGTCTCAACTGTTTGAGACAATGATATGCACATGCCGATAACTACCAACACTACGAGGTAAAGGGGAAAGCATGGAGCAGGAGGGAGTACCGGAGTAAAGCATAAGCCAAGGGCTTTGGACTCCTTTGAAGAGGAATTCATGGGAATCAAGAGGGATATTTGAATTTTACTATTTAAAAGTCAATCAGATTTTGGGGAGGGAAATAGTATAAAATATAAAGAAAGTATTATAAAAGATGGGAGAAGGGTGACTGTCATCCAACATGACTGTACATGTCTGTGGGTGTGGGATGGGGGTAACCAACCTACCTAAAGACCTTATGCCACCCCTGGCCTCAACACCATTTCCCGTGGGCAAAATTAATTACATTCTCCACTATGCTCCTTCTATAATACAGTCCTTCAGCCACTACATCCATCACATGGCAGCAAAGGGATTCATTATTGAGTCTCGCTCTCCAAAGCTGAAAGTAAGCATCTTGAGGGCCAAGGGAGTGCCTTATTCTTTATATCCCCAGGAGCTATACCCTTTCCCATCACATAGTAGGTTCTTAAGGGTTTGTAATAGAATGAACCCTGACAAAGTGAGGAAAATCTGAAGATTGTGGGGAGAAAGAGACTAATATTATTCCAGGAAACCTTAGGAGGTTTACAAATTGTGTAATTCTTTCAGTTAAGTTCTCTCTGGTTCGTGACTTCTAGAATAAGTTATTCCTGGCTTCATGTCCAACCATATCTGTTCACACATTCACTGAAGACAGCACACGTATTTTTACTTTAAAAAATGGGCAGAATTGGCCTAAAAGTTTATAATTTCACTCAGTCCACCTCATTCTTCTCTTACTCCAAATGTGTTACTTCAGTATCATCATGTACAAATAGTTGTGTTCATATGTAGTGGAGCACGTAACATCCCAAAGAGAAAAAAGAATGAGCAAATTGTCTTTGCTTTTTTTAATTTTTCAAGAACAAAAGTTAACCAGATATTTAAGTATTTGCTTATTAGGCCATTATTGATAACTAATAAAAAAAAAACAGCATGCTTTCCACAAATGCATTTCAAATTCACAAGTTTAATAATGGAACCGAGTTACATTTAATAAGGCAATTTCTCATCAGGGAATAAAGCAAAACTCAAATGAACACTGATGGTTTAGAATCGGTGTAGCCTAAAGGGAAAGTAAGACATGCTCATCAATGTTTAATCTCACACACAAAAAGCCCCTTTTAATTTCTACTTAATTTCATTGTCCTCCAGTCCCTAATGATGTTGTAACCCACCCCACTTCTTTTCTGTGCTCTTTTTAACATGGCCAAGGAGTGAGTCTTTGTAGACACTCATCATTTTAAGGCCAGGAAATCCCAGAAATGAGAGGTGTCTGTATAGTAGCAGCTGACCAAGTCAATCTGAGAGTAGATTAAATTAGGTGCTAACCTTGGCATGTTTAATATTAATAATCATTGAGCAAGAGTTTCTAACTACAATGAGCAAACCACAGTATTGGCAGGAACTTCTTAAATATCATTTCTACAAATGGGGCAATATTTGAAATACTCTTGCCAACACAAAATGTTATTCTCTTTTGTGAGCCTTAAATTATTTTTTCTTCCTGTAAATTTCTAAATAATTTTGGGAAATGATCTCGGTTATTCTTCCCATGTTAACTCTCCTCTGTCCAAAGCAGTAACTTCGTGAATAGTCTTGACTTCTTGATCACCTATAATATTTTATCATTTTGCTGAATTGAAGCAATACTTGAATATATTCAGTTTTCTGAAAGGACATTTGACAATGAAGGTACACTGCCTGATTTATTAGAGGTTCCAGCAAAATATAATGATTTGAGTTCTTAAAAAATTTACAGCTATGTCTTTCCAGATTCCTGAGGTATAAAGAAACACTTAAGGACAAAGATTGTAAGCTCAATAGTTTCAGCCATTACGGGCATAAGAAAGATACTAATAAATATTGAAAAAGTGATTATATGTATTGAAAGCATATCACTTGTTTTCATTTTTTTCTACTTTCATTTTTTAAAACCTATTATTCCAATATACAGCTTTTAAAACTTACAATTCAGATCACATTTTCATATAATAATGCATATGATGATGAGAATAGCTTATGCATGTTCGCAATCTAAAACTATAAAGCTATCTACAAGATTTGGAATCTCACTCTTGTTTTAGCTGCTGCTGCCATAAAGTGGAGCTTTTATTCCACTCATGGAATGGTGGCCAAGCAAAATGAAAAACAAAAACAAAAACAAAAAACAGAGGACTGGGGAAGTTTCCAAATCTCTTCTCTGCCATTCCCTTGATAGTCTGCCTTGAGGGGAGTTCCTGCACCTCTTGGATGAGGCTACCTACATCAAGGAATTACTGTTAGGAATTAAAGGAGAGAATGTAGATAAATGCCTAGCATAGGACTTGACACAAAAACCTTCACAAATATTATTCCCTCTTTATTTATTTAATTAGTACCTGTAAGTATTTTCCTATATGAAAATGTGTATCTAAAGTTGTTTCAAATTTTTGCTATTATAATTGAAATAATTTTAATTTCACATAAACTTTTACAGTCAGCCTTATAATCATTAAAATTATAGCCAGCCCTTCATGGAAAACAACATATTTATGTTAGAAATTCTATTTTAACTCAGACAGCTTTTAGCTGCTGCATATTTTGCTGCCAGGTCTCCCACATGTACTCATATCTCCTAATTTAGGGCTTTGTATGATCTAAGTTCCCTTGAAATACTGGCATCACATCAAGATGTTTTTTTCTTCATCATTCCTCAAATTAAAAGTCTCTCTTGAAACTCTTTTACTGTATTCATCTTAAACACTGGCAAGTCTTAGAATACGGTATGTGATTTTTCAGAATATTACTTTTACCCATTCATTAATGTCGTATAAGTGTCCTTTAAAGTTTGAGCTAAGATAGATCCTATGTATAAAGCACCCAGTAGTACATGGTAGGCGCTCAATAAATGTTACTTTACCTTAACATAAAACAAATACATCATCCACATTAATCTTTTAGAAAACGTGATTTCTTTATCTGAAAAAATGCCAGAAAGAATCATCATATGTGTAGACTTAAAGATAAAGCAAGGAGTAATTATTATTTTCTTGACAACTGACATGAATTGAACTTATAACAATTATATTTAGGGCAACTAAACTGAAAATAATCCCTCCTTTTTCAGGAGACATAATCAACCTTTAGCATCAAACTATAGAATCAACCTTTTTAAAAACAAGAAAAGGTTTACTGGATTGAGGAGTCAATAACTAGATTCCTGTTGTTTATGGTAAGACATATTCAATTCTTCTCTATTTGTAAAATTGTACAAACTTAGCCATTGTAATTTGTTCAAAAGGTGAACCCATTAGTGTCCCCTAGGCCCACATACTGTATGTCTCTTTCTGTTAATAGTCTTAAAATATTTTGTCTTCTATCACTATTATATGTAGTAACGCAAATAAATTCCTGGGTCAAACTGATTTTATCAGGAAGTCAGGACAGATCAATATTTTGTTTGCATTTTGATGTTAATACCAATAAAACCCAGGGAAATAAAGCTTGAATGATTAGTTCATGCCAGATCACGACTCTGGAAATACTAACAAATATTTTAGGGTTATAAGTATGTTTTCATACAGTCACCAAGTTAATATTCATTACAAGCACTGGCTAACCATTTTGAAAACATGGAAATGTTTTTAGATAGCATGGGGGTATTTTGGGTGTTTTGGGGAGGAAGTGGTGGGGGGGATTGGGTTTTTGTTTATGTTTTTTGCTTGTTTTGGTCAGGAGGGACCTCAAAAATCATAAATTCATTGTCATGTCTACCTGGAGCTGATCTGCTGTAAAGCTGGTCCGAGCTCTTTTTGCTGGTTTTGGATGATTAACATCTTGCTCTGTGAGGAGGGCACCTTCAACACTAATCCCATTACCTGCATTTAAAAAACAACAGCATACATGATGGTAACTCAGATGGGTCCACTGATCATGCAATAATGTTTCCTGCATCTCTTGGCTTGGTGTGAAATTGTAGATTGCCCAAATCTGTAAGTTTAAAACACACTAGAAATAGTCTGTGGAAACAATATTCCACTTACAGGCTTGTATATTTACTCAAAAGAGTAAAAAGTTAGAAGAGCACACATCTAAGGTTCATCCTTAGGAGGCCAATACAGGAAAACAACTGGTTACAAAAAGCAAAACAGAGCCCTAAATTGAAGGCTGCTGAGAATATGGTACAAGGCTAATACACATGCCATGGCTTTCCCTGCAAATAAACACATGGAGATCATCACTAACAGTAGAATGCTAAATGAGTTTTACCACAATTACACTGCACAAAATAATGCATTAAAATGACCTTAGGAAAAATCATTTTTATTCCCTGTATTCACTGTCCCAAAAGACTCCAAAGTATTTTAAGTATATATTTACCATTTTCCACTTCTCTTTTTAAATTATCCAGCATACAGTCATAATGCACTCTGCAGAGGACTTTCTCTTCCACCAAAGCAAACTCCTCTCCCGTGGAAAGCTGCCTTTTGCAAGAAAAGCAGGCAAAGCACGCCAAGTGATAGACATTCCCCTTGGCCCTGCGGACCCAGTCAGTAGAATGGATGTGCCTCCCACAACGAGAGCAGCGAGTTCCATACCTTCTACATAAATAGAAGAGCAGGAGGTGAAGATTTTAATGTGTGGTGAGATATTCAACAGCCTGAGCAAATTAATACATCATGTTACTCTTTGGATTAACCTAAGTATTTAAAACTTTTGAAAATGAAACAGGAATCAGTTATTTTCCTCAAAGTCAATATCAAGACTTGAAATGAGGCCATAGTTCAAACCTGTTTATAAAACAAAAACTCCTCTGTCACTTTAAAGGCAGACTGGATTTTTTTTCTTTCAAAATAAATGCAATAGGAGTTTCAATGTCCCTTTTGTACCAAATATCAGAACGTTTATAAATTACCTAAAGATTCAAGATACAAACACACATATACTCCAGATTGAAACCTAAAAGGGCAGAAGCATACCAGTGAAGATATAATGACTTCTTAAAAACCAAACTGAGATCAATAAAAAATGTTTTAAATATCATTTAAGTTAAAATATTTAAACACTAAAAATTGATATTTTCAAAGGATGGGTAGAACAGAAACTGTTCACCCTGAGAGTAAGGAATGAAAACTTAGATTTGTTTCCACTGGTGAATAAGCTACTGCACTGCTAGCCACAGGACGTGGGAAAATATTATCTAAAGCTTTCAGAGAACTATTTGGACATAAAATGCAGGTTAACTGTAACAAAATGCCCCATGTAAATATTTCTTTCTTCTCCTGGTCTGAGTAATTGGACATTCTTTGCTATGTCTCCTATCATAATCAGTCATGGCCTTGCATATCCTACATCAAACTATTGATGTGTCTATTTCTACTCATTAGTATATCTTTAGAGGTATTACCAGGTTTTTTTTTTTTTTTTGAAGTTAACCTGAATAACTGAAACTTAAAATTAAATTTTGGAATTTAATATGAAGCATAAAAAGAAATCCTGAGGAATTAGACTTTCAATAACTCGCTGAAACTAAACCTTTCAAAAAGCTTTAAATTATCATTAAAAAATTAAGATTTGCATATCTTAAGTCAAAGAGGAGGCAAACTGCTATGATTCTTGAGGAAACAGAGAGTAAGCCTGATGAGAAATATAGGTGTTTGGTAATTATAAAATTCTGTCACTTTATAAAATAAAGGATCCTGGGTTTTATGAAGTGCTTTTAATTAGCAATTTTATTCAAATCAATCACTAAACTCTTTGAAACCAGTTTTTGAAACTGAGTGTAAACAACATAATTAGTATTACAAACTTCATTATATAGTATTAATTTCCCAATTTCATGATGAACATTTTTCTTCATTTGGAAATGCAAATAAAAATATGATAATTTTAAAAAGTCATGCTTAGGGCTAATTTCAATTTCTAGGCAGCTATCTATTAAGGATTGAATTATACCCTAGAAAAAACTATGCATTTAAACAATTTACAAAGAGATCATGGAGAAAATGTTACATTTAATATCTTAGGCAAATACAATCTCACAAAGCAAAGATCAAAGAACACACAAAAAGAAACAGGATTTTTAGGTAGAATAATCCGACTCGGTATATTTCTGATATTGAAATGGTCAGTTCCTTTAAGTTATATGGTTTAACTCAGACTCCAAACTGCTGACATTTTGTAGGTATAATTAGGGATCGTTCTACAGTAAACTGGTAAACACTTAGCAAAACCTTGATTCCCCCCCCCATAATTATTTCATCTTAGCATCCCCTGCAAATAACGGACTTTGTCAGAATAGGTCATCTTATGTTTTATACTTTACCTATGCTCAGCAAGAACTTTCTCTGTTTTTAATAGCCACCACTCTCATTCCCAAAGAGGAAATAATTATTTTAAATTAGCTTTTGTATTTTTAACTCCTAAAACACATAAACACGCTTATTTTGTTTTAATAGAAGTTATACCTCAAAAATGTGAAGCATTCTCAGTTTTAAATCCATTACATAAGAAAAACTGGGTTTCAATATGTAAAGCAGGACGAGAAAGCTTGTTTACAAAATTCTCTTTGCGTAACATCTTGGAGTTTCTACGAAAAAAGTTTCCACAGTGTACCTGAAATAATCAAGTTTGCAGAAAATGTCTTTGTCTTTAATATAACAGCTGGTATGCCTTCCTAAGGAGGTCCTGCAGACACTGCAGGAGAGACACCGAACATGCCAGCACAGGTCATTCACCTGTAAAGGAAAAAGGGGCAGGATAAGAAACTATTTTAATATCACACTAACAGAGGATCGTTCACTGGTTTTGTGCATTAAGCAATTTTAAAACCTGGCTCCTTAATATTTTAGCATATGCTCTGAATGTTTCTATCTAAAAGCTGTCATTTACACAAATGTGTGTCTTGATATATTCTCTTTCAGACCCCAACCAGAAAAGCACAATAGCATATTTTACACTGTGTGTTAAATTGTTTATTCCTTTGAAGAATTCAGGGTCTGTACTTTTCTCTTTCTGAAATCGAACTTGTATGGACACGGAAAATTTTGCTCACTTTAAAGTCCTACATGCAGGCTTGTTGTACTTTTTTTCTTTCACCAAATTCTTTCCACCATGAAAACTGGTAGCTAAAGAAGTCAAACCACACACTTTCTCAATCTACTTTTTGGCCAAACAATCATAAATGGTGCACTAGTTAAAATGAGAGAGAGAGAAAGTGAAAAAGAAGCCTTGTAAGATTCTGATCCTTTTAAAGAAGTCTGGCAATCCGTTTCCCTTACCAAATAGAAATTAAAAATAGATGTAAATCTTGATATGACAGAGACTTTCTGACATTAAATAATGGAATCAAAGAGTACGTTATTGGAAACCTAACTAATGATTTGGCTACTGGAGAAAAAATTAATCTGATTAAAAGTGGTTCTAAAAAAGGCACCCAAGTATTGTTTGCCATTTACACTCCAAGCACTAAGCCATAAAATCGTGTCTAATAAATCACATCACTTTATATTTTCTAAATAGGCATATGAAATATTGTCAATTCAGGGAACAAATCATAATAACCCTCACCTTAAACTGTTGCCAGAATTCTAGAAGCACCACGATTTCAGCCTTCAAGAATGAAGATGTATACTGGGTTGAACTTGCCTTTAATACAGGCTCCCAGCGTTTGCTCTTGTTAAATAGACACAGGAATTGAGTTTATGTTTAACCAATTAAGCATGATTTCATTTCATGTAAAAGAACAGCAATGATGCAAAAACACCCGTTACATCCTACAAATGGATCTAATGTCTAAAGTAGTAATTACGAAATTGTGAAAAGGGGAAATTGTGAAATAGTCTTTATTATGAAACAGTGTAGCAAAAGCCCTATCTGTCCAAAGATTCTATCAGATTAGCACGACTGTTCAAAATCTTCTTTTTCCCCCAAAATGTTTTGTGTGTGTGAGATACAAAATATAAAAGGTATTTCGAAGCTGAAGGAAAAAGTTTTACTTGCTTCTAATTGTAGTTATGGCCTCTTTCCAAAGAAAGCATTAATGAGAGTATCATTTTGATGAAATTTTAAAAATTTTAAGTTTTGGGCTTGGACTGCATGCTTGCTACATAAGAAAACTTGGAAGAAGGAAAGAAACAAATGGAGGAAATCGGGCTAAAAAAATATTAACAATGTTTAATACTATCCTAGAAACAAATACGTATTTTCTATTTTTTCCTAAAATGGGAATATTAAAGTTGAAAAATACAGGCTTCCTTTAGTATTCCAATGCTTAGGAACTTCTACGTTTTGATCTTATCCAGGCTCTTTTTCCCCACCCCTCTCTCCAAACAAGTGCAGATTCAGACTTCAGGGCAGAGCCAGGGCCACCCTCCAACTCTCTAAAGCCAAATCTAACGCCTGGTTTGCCACCTTTCCTTCAAGTTTACTTAAAAAAGAAAAAAAATGCTCCTCACCTTCCATGTCTTTTTCAGGGAGGAAAACAAGTTAGACAAAATTCTAGAGAATACAGACCTTCACTGATAGCTGCTATTTATCCAATCTGTATATGTATATAGGACCAAGCCAGAAAAACCATCCAAACGACAGGGCACTGAAATATTAGATGAAGCAAAAGACACTTCTAATTCCTCTCCTACTTTTTGTTTTAGCTCCATTTCAACTTGCTTCAGGAGATGATGTTTTTCTATATCAAATAGTTTCTGTGTTAAACAGTTGTACCCTCAAATACTCTATTAGGTCTACCGATTATTTTTCACCAGGCACTCAGATTGAATTTAAACTTCTTTTAGAATAAGTATTCAAAAAAATAATAATAACCTCAGAGTTTTTAAACAATCATATAATGTCAAACTTTAGTTGGAGCTAAACACTAATATGTACATAAAAAGACAGAATAAGGCTTTACATAGAAGATTTCACTAGGAGGACTACAGTCCTACAACAAAAAGCTTTATATAAGTTATTTAGATAACTTAAGTATCTAAGCACATCTAATGCACAAATATATTTTTAACATATAAAGTGAACACTAATTCAGAGGTGTGTTAAGAGTCACTACATAATACTCTTTTTTTCTAAATCCTCTCTGGTATGAAGTGTTAAAGCCTTTATAGATCCATTCAGTAACGTTCTTAGAAACTATGTTAATTATCGAGAGGGCTCCTTGAAATAATAAACTAGTTTTGATCCAAAAAATGATTCGGAGATATCCAAAAAGGCTCAGGTCTAGAAACAGTGAAAAGGGATACCTCAAGAATTCAGATTTAAAGAGAAAGCCGTGTCAATTTGCCGGCTTTAAGACTTGGTCACCAATTAAAATTAATTTACTTTTCAGTTTTCCACCAAAACTTCTTTTGGTGCTTTATCTGGGTTGTACGTATACGGTGTTATTCCCACTTTACAGATTAAACAGCTTTATACACTGAGGTAGAAATTTCAAGAAGCCCAACAACTTGCGTTTTGAATGCATACTCTCCATAAACATTCCTTTTTGGAAAAAAGGGGATGGGGGAGTGATTGGTGAGGAAGGAACAGAAAGTAAACTGGTTTGCTACTAATTCAGTGTAGGAGAGATCATTATTTTAAATAGTGGTTTTAAAGAGTTGCTGGGGTTGAAAACCCATGGTATTAGGATTAAGACACATGGGACCATGACCCTGCACTCAATGACGCGGTTAACTAGTCTGCCAAAATTTCCCCTCCAAAATTCCTGCACAATATTTTGAGAGAAGTGAAACAAATTAAGATGGTCAGTTCCCAAACTATCACTTGAAGCACTTCATCCCAGGCATCCGTCTATCTTTTTGCTTCTCTTCCTACCTGCCTTCCTCCCCCCCCCCTTTTTTTATTTTTATGTTTTATTTTTTTGGTCTAACTTTACAAATCTAGCGATTTCCATTTCTTTCACAAGCACGGGAGGGAACATTAAAAAAAAAAAAAGCCCTGGGTGGCCTGTAAATATTAATAAGAGGAAGGAGGCACTAAGAAGGTTTTTTTTTTAATGTAAGGGCTCCTACAAACTTTTACTTTGAAAAACCCTTACTAAAGTGTTACTAAACATAAAACTATGTAAAAATTCTGTCCAGAAAAGACCCCTTGGGGCACTTCACAGCGGTCCTTACCAAAGGGGACACTGCAAAAGGGGCATCTGCCAACGTTTACCCACTAGGGGCTCTCGGAAGCAGGCAGGTGTAGGGGTCCAGCGGGGGCTGCAGGGACCACAACCAGGCTCGGGAAAACCCATCAGGCAAGACCCCGTTTCCAAGGGAGTCCGAGGATTAAGCGGGTTTGGCTCCTCCGCGAGCTGCGGCCGCTGCAGTACAAGCCACCCGGGGCCAGCGCCCCAGGCCACACGGGGGGAGAGTCCACGGCCCCCCCTTCCTCCTGCAGGACCCGCCTGCGGCGACCCCCGGGAAGGCGGGAGGGGAGAGGCTCCCCTAGTGCGGCCCCCAGCGCGCGCCCTCGCCGGCCCCGCGGCTCCCCTACCTTGAGAAGGTACTTGTCCACGATCTCCCGGCCGCAGCTGTTGCACACACACTTGCCTGGGGGGCACACGGAGCCCGAGGCCATGGACCGGGGCGAGGACGACGGGGACAGCGGCGCCGAGGACGAGCACGAGTCCTCGTCCCCCGCTCCCTCGGGGCTCACCTGCGGGAAGCCGGGGGCGCGGTTGCAGGCGGCTCCCCCCATCCGCCCGGGCTCCCGCACCCCTCCCGCACCCCTTCCCTCCTCCTCTCCCCCCGCCCCAGGCCGCTCTCACTTTGTCCCCTGATGCCAGGCTCCCGCACCCCTTCCTGCACCCCTTCCCCGCTTCCCCCCCCCCCCGCCCGCTCTCACCGTGTCCCCTGCGGCTGGGCTCCCGCACCCCTTCCTGCACCCCTTCCCCCCTTCCCCCCCACCCCCGCCCGCTCTCACCGTGTCCCCTGCGGCTGGGCTCCTGCACCCTTCCCGCACCGCTTCCCCCTTCCCCGGGACACTCTCACCGTCTCCCCTGGGGCTGTGCTCCCGCACCCCTTCCTGCGCCCCTTCCCTCCTCCCCCCGCCCCAGGCCGCTCTCACAGTCTGTCTCCCCTGCTGCCGGGCTCCTGAACCCCTTCCGCACCCCTTCCCGCACCCTTCCCCCTCCCCCCGCCCCTCTCACCGTCTCCCCCGCGGCGGGGCAGCCGGCCCTCGGCCCTCCACCCCCCGCACCCCGGGTCCCGGGCCGCTCCTCCCCACTCACCAGTCCCTCTTCCCCGGCGCCTTTCCGCGTCCTCCCGGCCGCCAGGGCTGCGATCCGCGCGCACTCCTCCGACATGGGCCCCCGGCGCTGCGGGCGCGAGCAGGGGGGGGCGCGGGGAGCCGCGGTCAGAGCCCGCCCGCGCAGCCCCGCGCAGCCCCGCCGCGCCGCGCCTGATGAAGGCGCCGAGGGCTCGGGGCCGGGCGCCGCGGGCAGGGGTGCGGAGCGCAGGCCCGCAGCTCAGCGCCGCCGCGGGGGCTCAGCCGCGCCGGGCGGCCCCCCGCGCCCCCGCCCGCGCCCCCGCCCCCCCCGCCCGCCGCCACGAGTCGGCCACCAGCATCCCCGGCACAAAGCGCTCGCCCGCTAGACGTCAATCACGGCGGAGCGGGGACCGCGGGGCTACAGGGGCGCGGGGGGCGGGGGCGGGGGGGCGAGAAGAAAAGAGGTCGGAGGAGGGGGTGGGGGGAGAAACTTGATTTCTTTAATAACGTCAATTAAAAGAGCAAGACACACATATATTTTTAAAAGGGAGCTCTTTTGAATTGGATAGCCCGAAAGGTGAAGAGGTTTAATAGGATACTTGAAAGCTAATTACAGCGGGATTTGAGAAGCCTGGTGTTTGTTCCGATGACAATTTGAATGAAAATGCTTCAGATTAAACCGAGCCAGCGGCTCTTTCGTAAACTTAGGGCAATTAGAGCCGCGAGTGATTTACACTCGTTCCTTTAAGGTGTAAATTGCCACTTACTGCTCAGTAAGTCAACATTCGAGCTGCTAAAGGATTATTTTTAACCGGCGCGCAAAAAAAAAAAAAAAAAAAAAAGAAAAAAAAAGGCAAAAAAGCGGGACGAATAATGGAAAATATCCAGCTGAATTTAATTTGTGCCATTAGAACTCCCCCAACCCCCGGTCAAAATGTTTTAAAGCAACAGCGCGCATTACTCAAGGGTTTCCAAGCCTTCGCTGGAGTTTTGTTCTTAAATGAAAACGCAGCCGCCGCTGGGGCTTTCTCTGCCGAGGGGTACGGGCGCCCGGGTTGGCGCGGGGCGGAGGGGCGCGGGAGCGGGGGGCACGGGGGGCGCGCACCTGCGCCCGCGCCTCCCGCGACCCCGGCCCAGCCCGGTGCGAGACCCCCGCGCGCTCCCCGGGCCGGAGCGTGCGCCGCCGCCCCGGGCCGCCTCCGCGGTGGCACCGACAGGTCCTCCCCGCGGCGCCCGAGCGCAGCCGGGTCAGCGCGCCCGCCCCGGGCCCTCGGAGGCCTTTCCAACCCCGCGGGAGGGTCCCCGACGCGTCCCGCCCCGGGCAGCGCCGAGCGCGGCTGCGCTTTCCCGGCTACTCCACGCGAGGCGGGACTCGCGCGCCCCTGCTATGCTTTTTTTTTTTTTTTTTTTGCTTTTATGCTTTTATTGCTTTTTTTTTGGTATTTGAGAGGAAATGCCCCTCCTGGCCCCCCCCCACACCCCCACCCCGGGGTTCCCCCGAGGCCTGGATGCGCGCCCTGCCTCGGGTCCCACCCTGACACCCACCACCCATCCCCACCACCCACCCACGCACCCCGCCCCGACTCGCCCCGACCACCACGGCAGAGAGAACAAAAGCACGACTCACATGGACCCGAGAACTCGCCTTAGGCTCGAGGCTTCGTCTCCCAAATTACAGTCTCCATGCCTCAGGTTAAGTGAGCTTGTGGGGAGGGGAGGCAATGATTACCGACTAACGCTACGACGTAATCGATAAATAATTTTTTTTTTTTGGCCAAGTCTGAAGAGGAGGCCGCTACAGGTAATTTCTGAACCTCGTAAGGAGCCCGCACAGCTCGCGTCTCCAGGAAACTGCCTGCCCCGCAGCGGGTGCGGCCCGGCGTCGGCGCGCTCACCTTCTCGGGGGGCGCCGCCAGCTCCGGCACGTCCTTGCCTTCTAGGGTGCACGCAAACATCTGATCGCTCTTCCAATACATGGCACTGCTGGGGCTGCTTGTCACATCCCAGCTCCGCAGGGTCAGCGGCCGTCCGAGCCTGCCGGGGGGGCCCCCCCTCCCACCCCGCCCCGCCCCAGGGCACCGCGGACAGGAGCAAGGCCGCGGGCTGAGTCCCCGTCCAAACAGGCCGCTGTGCCCGTGTCCGGTCCGGCGCACTGTTCTCTAGATTCTCATCCCAACTTCACTGAGGTCTGTCCCTCTAGGAAAAGGAAAAAAAAAAAAAAAAAGTTTTGTTTTGCAGAGGGTGGAACCTTACATAAAGGGAGGGAAGGGGGTGTGCGCGCGTGTGTGTGTGCGCGCAGGGGGAGTCTTCTGGAGCAATAGCCTCACCTCCTCGAGGAAAACCCGCCTTCTGTACATGTTAAGATCTTTATCAGATCAAGCCAACTTACTCCAGATTTAGTATTAGAGAGAGAGAGAGGAAAAAAAAAAAAACACTGGGAATGGCCTGTTAACTTTTGACTTTAAAAAAAAAATGAAACAGCTCTGCTCTCTCTGCATTTGCCGTGGCTTTTTAATTCTCGCTCCCCAACCAAAACCTAAACAAAGATTCATGTTACATCTCTTTCTGCAGCAGGCAGAAGGGGAAGCGGAGGTCTGAGTGACTTAAACTTTTTAGTCATTCTTCTGAATCGTGCAGCTCTCCTGTCTAGCCGAGGAACCCCACCGCTCGCTGGCAGCCCCGGGGCTGACTGATCTAGCGGTTCCTGCTCCCTTGGCGAAAAGTTTTCTCATTAAGATAAAGAAGGAACATCTGAGCGGCACAAAAAAAGCTTATGATTTGCGACTAGATTTGAAATCAAGGCTGCGAGAAAAAGACAAAAGTATGTTTGCTAAGAGTATGGCTCTTTCATCTCCTCCTAGACAACATTTAAGCCCTAGAAGAGGGGCCAGCGCCTGCCTCAACTGTTGGCTGCGGGTTTGTGGAGGGAGGAGGTGTTCTCAGGGTACCGTAATTTTGATTAGGGTTGGAGGATGTTTGCTTGAATATCAGCTTCTTTATGCTGCGAACTTTACTTCGTTCTCTAGTGTGTAAAGGGGAATTCAGTGAGAGACTGTTTAACAATGTTTTATTTCCAACCTTCCTTTTCTTTTTTTCTTTTAAGAAACCAAGCAAAACCTAAGAATACCTGGGAGTTTCTGTTTCCTAAGGCCTTTAGTAAAATCATGTGATGTTGCTTCACTCAGACTGACATGTGTATCTACATACCTACCTATATATGACCTTCTATATCCTTATCTCCTTGCCTGATTTGTCTAGAAGAGTAAGATAGGAGGGCTCCGGCCCGACAGGTCTACAGCAGGCGGGAGGAGGGCCAGTGGGCTGGGTAGACAGCCCTTCCCCTAAGGAAGTGAGCCTGTATTACAGCCTGGGGCCGAGCAACGCCTGCAAATTTAGTTTTCCCTCAAGGACATTTTCTCCCATAAACACGAGGTTCCCTAGAGCATTTTCCTATTGCCATTGTTTCCTTTTCGCGCAGCTGCGCACACCGTTAATATTAGCCATCCCCCTTCCGGTCCTTTCTGGGAGATCTCGCTTAAATTTAAGAAGTGGGGGGTCGAGGACTTTGGGGTCTGTGTCCTCCTACAGAACTGAAGGCTTGAGGCGGACCTCCTTCTCCTCGAAAAGCTAACCTGTGCGTGGAGAACAGAAAGTCTTGTGTTTTGCATCAAGTGCAAAAATTAGCATGGGGTGGGGGGGAGTGGGGTGGGGTAGGACGGGGTGGGGGGGGAGATTCACATAATGCGTTTTCCATGAAACACCTCGGTCTCGAGATGGCTCTTCCGCGCGTCGGAACTTTGGCTCTATCCGGGTGATCGGAGCGCGCAGGATGGAAAGTGGAATTCAAAATAAAGATCCAGCTCAGAGATTTAGTTACGGTTTCTACTCGTTAGGGTCTGCGGAGTGGACCTGGGGTCCTGCTTGGCTAAGCGTCCGGGAGAATTAATGGCGCGGGTGGTTTGGAGCTGCCGAGGGCGCCGGGGCGGCTTGGGGGAGGCCGGGGGGTGGGGGGCGCGGTCTGTCCACCCGCCCTCGTCCTCCTCAGTCGGCTCCGCTCGCAGTCAGGTTCCCCAAATACTCCTCTTGGTCTGGGAGCCCCCAGCTCTGCAGCGGCGGAGGAAAGGAGCCGCTTTTAGAGGCTTCTGGGGATGGGGAAGGAGAATGGCCATCAGCCCCAGGAGGACCCCAAAGACTGGTCTGGCCTTGGCTTTGGGGCCCCGCCTTGGGGCCGCGGCCCTTCCCCGCGGCGGGATTGTGCGCGCACAGCCTCGCTCGGGAGGCCTCCCGGCGGTGAGTGTTCCCGCGTCCCAGGCCCGCCGAGCCCCGGCCGCGGGGGTGGCGGAGGGGGGAGGCGCGGGCGCGCGGCCCGGGGGGCTGGGCCCAGGGACCTCCTGCCCCTGGGTCGGGGGTGGACACCCGGGAGAGCTGCTCCCGACCGCGGCCCGGCTCCTACCACGCTCCTCCTCCGCTAGGGCGAAGGGAGAGTGAGCTCGCTGCTCCGCAGAGGGCGGCTCTTGGGCTAAAAATCGGGGCCTTTCCGTCTCGGGAATAAGGGGTTTTAGCCTAAGCTCCGATGGAAACCAATTTTTAGTCGGAGGAGGATGTACCAAAAAAAAAAAAAAAAAAAACCATCTTGGGGTTGTTTGTGCAGGTGGGCGAGGGCTCACCCGGCTGGGTCGGTTCCTACCCACCAACTGGACAGTTCCAGGTGGCCGGATCTCCCTGAAGGACAACCAGGGACCGCAGGGCCGCCCGGGGGGATAACCAGCCCGCCCCGGACTACAGGGGCGCACAGGCGAGGCCCGGGGAAGAAACCCAGCGACACTCGGGAGGGCGCCGCGGCGGGTTGGGAGGCGCTGGGTGTGTCTCCCTGAAGCCGGAGCGGGTCGGGGAAGGAAGGGGTCCGGGCCGTGATTGAGGTCCGGGGGTGCAGAGCCCGCACCCCAGCCCGCCCTGACCCCCCACGGTTCCCACTCCCCGCGAGGAGCTGCCTAATTGGGCAGCGGAGCAGCTGCGAAATTTGTAGTCGCCTAATAAGCCTTCCACCTCGGTAATTCTTATCAAAAGACATAAAACTGATATTTTCACACTCGGCTTCCTCCACAGGAGCCGTTTATAAACACCCTTCATCAGTAGGATGAAATTAAGCCTGCATTGACGAAGGTCCCTGGAACTCGATATTTAAAAGCAATAGATCCGAATTAGCAAATCGCGCCTGTTAAGTAGGGCAAGTTCCCCCCCCCCCGGCCCCCCAACTTGACTGTCGAACCCTTCGCCTCCGAGCGCCTCGCGGGGAGTAGCCGGAGCCTGGATGGAGTCTGCGCGGGGCCCCAGCAGCTCCGGAGCCTCGCCGCGCCCCCACCCCCCCGGCCTTCGCGGACGCGCTCCGGGCGGACCCGCGGGGACAGCTGCGGCCTGGGCGCCAGTGCGGGACCCCCAGGCCACCGGCTCAGGGCGCAGCGGGCGGTCGGGGTGCGGCTCCGCTCCCCGGGCCCGCGACCCTCGCAGGCGGCCTCCCCGGGGCCCCCGCGCGCGGCCGGAGGGCGAGGCAGGGGAGGCCTCCGCGCCGGGTGGATGGATGGACGGATGGACGGACGGATGGGTGTGGGTGGGGAGGGGGCGCAGCGTGGGGCGGGTTCTTGGGGCGGCCTCCTCACCCAGGAAGGCGCAAACTGGGCCCAGAGCGCCCTGAAGCCGCGAAGGTCACACTCGGCCCCGGGCGACGAGCGGCTCCTTTGACTTTTGCCCACCCCGTCGAACCATCCTGAACCATCCCGAATGCTCATCTGGGAAGAGCCCGCAGGGGATCGCGTCCCCCTCGGGCCGCGCAGCGCAGGACGCGCTCACCTTGGGACTTACCGGTCCCAGGCTCCTGCGCAGCGAGGCGGAGGGAGGGGCGTGCTTGCTCCCGCCGGCGGAGGCGCCCAGAGGTGGCAGCCGACTGGGGCCCCCCCCGGTCTCTCCTCCCCGAGCCCCCCGGGCGCGCGCGACGGCGGGGAGCGCACTGGAGCGCGGGCACCGCCGGGACTGAGCCCCCCGCCCCGCGTGGGCAGCGCCGGCTGCGGTGTCCTGTGGGTCTCGGGACCCCAGCCCCGCAGAGCACGCTCTGCGCCCGCGGGGGGGTGGGTTCGGGGGCGCTCGTCCCCCCTCCCCGCCCCGGCACCGGGGCAGCCCGCCCGGTCCTCTGCGCAGGAGGGCGCAGAAGCGCGCCTCGCAGACAGGACGGCTGCGCGCGGGGCCAGACTCGGGGGGCCCCCCCGGAGCCCGCAGGCCGTCCTGCACAGTCTGCTGACCCCCGGCGACGCTTCCGAGCCCTCTCTCTGCGCCCCAAGCACCCCTGTGGTTTAGAGCTGCTAATTTTACGTGCATTTTATCGTTTGGAGTTAAGCATCGCTGCAGGATCGGGAGAAACCGGATTCTAACCTTCTCCAGACCTCTGCCCACATAATTCTGGAAAAGCCAAACTAGGAGGTGGTGGTGGTGTGTGTGGGGGGGGTTAAGACGATGCAAAACCCAGCCGCGCCCCAGCCCCCACCTCCCCCCGCCCCGCGCTTTCCTACACAGCCCTGGACTCCAGCCGGAGCTGCAGTGGAGCTCGCTCGTCTGGAAGGGCCGGAAAGCCTCGCCCCGCACGCTTCCCCTCCTCCACCCTCCTCTTCCCCAGGGGTCCCCGAGAGGCGCACTAAAACCCCACCAGGAGGAAAAAAAAAAAAAAAAGCCAAAGTGGATGTGAGCGTAAAAACGTGGGCCCCTGAGAGTGTGTCGGGCTAGCGAGGGGTGGGGGTGTCGGGGAGCTGGGGAGTCCCCGGGTCGCAGGCTTCTAGACGGTTTTGATAAGGGCACATGCAGCTCCGCTTAGAGCCGGGGTGAGCGCGCCCCTGGCCTGGCCGACCCGGGTCGTCCCAGCAACGCGGCCACGTC